TGATCAATGAAACTGTAATAAACTGGAATTTATAATTAACTCTACATGTTTTCCACCTTCTTTCAAAAAAAAAAAAAAAAAGGCTTACAACCAGAAAATAAGCTAGTTTCAGTAATTTTTACCCTAAAATCAATTACTATGGTAGTTCCTGGCTCAGCAAACCTATAGCTCAACTGTCCACAGTTTTAACGTCTCTTGTACTATTAAGTTAGTGTTGATGTTCACAGTGATCCATTTGATGTCCTATAAGATTCTCAAACAAATACATTAAAAAGCAAAGCTCTCAGGTCCACTGAGACCTACATTAAATCTCTACTCTATTGTTTTACAACTTGCTGTATGACCTGAAGCAAGTTATCTAAGATTTTTAAGCCTATTTCCCTATCTATAAAAATGAGGATAACATTATCCATCTCATAGGGGTTTTTTTGGGGGGAGGGAGTCAAATAATACACGCAATATACTTAGCACAGTACCTGGTACAGAGTAGTAAAGTATTCAATAAATGTCCTCAGTTGTAGGGTGGTGGCAGCAGTAGAGTAATTGTGGTAGTAAGTAGTAAGAAAAGAACATTAACAATGATGAAAACTAAAGGAGTTTCTACATAAAAGCTTTACAATAAGAGCAAATAACAGCATTACAGTCCTGAACTTCACGGTAAATGAAGCTTTTCTATATCAAAATCTGTAAGATATCAACGTTCAAATGTATTCTTAGGCCCATATGAGATTTCTGTATTATATCTGCTTAAGCATTTGAATGTCATTAGCCTCAGCAATGACATCAGTATAGAGCCCAAATGATATATATTACTTCACTGATTACCATTTGTATTGGTAAGAGATAGCAGAATTTCATTTCATAAGTAATGGTTAAAAATATGTATGTCCTAATAATTAAAAATGTCCAATTTTGCAACAATTTAGGCAGTAAAATCATTTAAAATCTTTGAAAATTATAAAATCAACAAATGTACAAAGGAGTCATTATAATAATTACGCATTATGCAATGAGCCAAAATTTCCCAATGTGAAAATTACCCTTCAGATTCAGCAGAAGGCATCAAACTTTGGAATTTTTACATTGCTATCAGATACATTATACCCACTAGCAGAAGCCTCTTTGAATAGAGACAGGAAGATGTTAAGTTGAATATTTTGTGTTAAAAAGAACAAATTTATGTAGGAAGATATTACCACTTTAATTCCAAATCCTGAAAAAGTAGAGTACCCAATAGTAATTATAAGCTAGGCTTCTAAATTTTGGTGCACATTAGAATTTCCCCAAGAGCTTTAAAAAACACGATGCTCAGGCCTTACTCTCTGGGAAGTCTGATTTAATTGGTTTGGTTGGGGTATGGCATACTTTTTTAAAAGTTCTTCTGGGGATTCTATTATGCAGCCAGGATTAAGAACCACAGTCATACACAAACTATAAGGGACAATAATTATGGAAATAATTATGGTTAATTAGGGACAATAATTATGGAAAGAAAAAAAGAAAAGAAAGAAAAAGAGAATGGTACAAAGTATCAAAATACATTTAGCAATAAACTGGATAGTTCATAGATTTCATAAATATTTATTAAGATGTGTATGACACAGATCTTGTCCAAGACATTTAAAGCCCAATAAAAGGATTTAAAATAAAAACATAAATGATAATAAAACATGATAGAATGCTGTCTGATTTCATTAGAGAGTATAATCAAAGTGTTCTGGAAGTTCAGAAGTCACAAAAAAAGTTTATACAGAAAATAATTTCAAGGTCAAAAATATAAAAAGAATGAGAAAAAAGAAAACATAAGCATTATTTACTACCACTGACCAGAAAAAATATGATGTTAGGTTAACAGTACATAGAAAATGGTACACAAATAAAAATATTTAAATTCTTTTAAAAAACAGATTTGCCTTTGTGGTAATTTGACTATTGGAAGATTTTGGTATAAAGGTTCCCTTTAAAAACAAAAGAAAGAACATTATAGCCCAAAGCAAAACTTGGACTAAACTATAAAATGGAAAGACTACTAACAAATTAATTCAATAGAGTCCTTTGGTTCTTCCACTGAGAGAAAGATTTCATATTTCAAGTAAGACCCTATGCTTTCCTAAGATATATCCCACAAAAATGACTAAAAGTTAGTCTCTGATATGAAAAAAAGAGAAAAATGTGTTAGATTCAAGTAGAATAGTTCTTATCTCCTAGCAGGAGAGCATAATCATTTTAATAAACTAAGGAGAACACAATTTATACTACTAATGCTTGTAGTAGGCAAGATATCTATAACACATGCTTTCCCGATTGATTAGACAAAAACAAAAAAGTCCAAAACTAATTCTTATGCTTCTAAATAAAGTTAAATGGCCTTAAAAATATCTGTGAAGCTATACAAGAAAGCAACTAATACTGATATTTAACAACCTTATAGCAAAAGGAAAGATAAAAGTCAAGAAAGTAAATCATCACACAGGATTTGACAGAAATTTAAAACGAAAAATACTGAGTTACAAGAAGCCAGTCGTAATCTATTTCAAGTATGATTCATTATTCTTAATCGATGAGAAAAATATTTTCTTATAGAGTACTTCTATTTTGAAAAATTTGCTTATGAAGATGTTTATCAGAAGTCAGAAACTCAAATTCTGATATCAAACTTTTACACAGTTATAAACATATTGGAACTGAATTTGGTAGGCAGCTTTATAGAAATGTTTTACATGAAGAATAAACATGCTTTACCCATGGGTAGGTTATAAAAAAGATAATAGTAGAAAGATATTTCAGCAAAATGTAGACAATCAGAACATTTGAAAGTCTTTCTGAAAATCATATACATTTTTTAATGAACAGTATTTTGTCCTTTAAGGTGCAAAAAAAACACATAAGTATGAAAATAAAGGTAAGCTCTTCCTTACCTCAGAATAAATACAAGATTATAAAATTTTCATTCTGTAGTCCAGTAAATCTTAATCTATTGAGAATAAATGTCTAACCCTGTTCTTAAAATTTTTCCAGATAGCTTTGGATAACTATACTTTTCATCAATATTACTAGGCATAAACTTATGAGACAAGGAAAATAAAATAAAATAAACTACATGAACTTCGGGGTAAAAAATACAACAGTTTTAGAATTTGTGTTTGGGAAGCAAGCATTCAATCTTTGGTTCTATTTCTCAGCATTGTAGTACCCAGAGCATATCAGCTCCCAATTCATCAACATCAATCATATTACATAGTATGTGACAAGTGAAAAATACACAGCTTCTGTCATTAAAGAAGTCCATTTATCTAAAGTAATGACAAAATGGATACTATTTACTAAAAAATACATACCACATACAAATTCAAAAGACATACTTAAAATTTCAGAGATGAAAGGGAAATTAAAAATCATTTAGTCACTTTGGGTTCCATTCTGGAGAATCCAAAGTAGGCTTCAAAGGACCATGAATCACCCAAAATTGATTGAAAAATTTTATGTACAGGTATATTTTTATGGAAAGACGGTCTAACAATAGGTTTCAACAGACTCTCAAAGAGGTTTGTGATTCAAAACATTTTCCGTAACCGTCCAAGTCTGGATTAGGTCCTTCCCCTGCAGTCAGAGCTCCACAGCAATATGTACGTTCACCATCATAATGCATTGCACTGTATCATAACTGTATAGTAATTTGCCTGTTTCCCTCCCCCTCCCTCTGTCAAATAAATTGTAGAAACTCTTAGAGCAGAGAGCATCTTTGCTTTATTCACGACTTATTCCCAGTATTCTGCCTGGTGTCTGACATGTAATAGGTGCTCTATAGCCATTTTTTGAATGAAGGAATGAATGAATCCATCAATTTTTCACCTAATTAAATTCAAGTTAAAAAAAAATACATTCTAAAACAATGTTTAGGCTGGGCACAGTGGCTCATACCTGTAATCCTAGCATTCTGGGAGGCCAAGGTAGGAGGATCACTTGAGCTCAGGAGTTCAAGACCAGCCTGAGCAAGAGCAAGACCCTCTCTCTACTAAAATCAGAAAAATTAGCCAGGCTTGGTGGCACAAGCCTGTAGTCCCAACTACTCGGGAGGCTGAGGCAGAAGGATCGCTTGAGCCCAGGAGTTTGAGGCTGCAGTGAGCTATGATGATGCCACTGCGCTCTACTGGGGGTAACGGAGTGAAACTCTTATCTCAAAAAATAAATAAATAAATAATTTTAAAAAGGTCTAATTACATATCTTTAGTCAATAAGAATTTATAATTCAATTAAAATAAGTTTATTTTGAAACTAACTTTTCTAGAATATATTAAGTTATATAGCATATCTTTCATAAAACTTCTTTGTAGTTACTTAGTAGTACATGGTTTGAATGGGTTTCCCAGCAGATAGAAACTTCTACAAGGACACTGAAAGCCTGCCTGAATGAAATTCTGATGGCTTGCATATCTATCTATAAAATAAACATTGTGAAATGATTTCACATAAAGTATCTAGAATCATCATCTTAAAGGTATTTTCAAGATAAAAACAGGAGAAATTGGGTCTTTTCTATCACCATGTGGAATTTTTAGTAATATGATAAACAGACTGCAAATCAGAAATGAATTTTAATAATTATTCAATTTAAAATCTATTAAAGGGCTTTTTTAATTAACTTAATTTTAAATATACTGGTATTCCCTTCTACCTTCATCTACCATCTTGACACAAAGTTATTTCAACATTTTCAAAATGTTATTTTCAATGTGTGACTGGCCTTGCATTTATTTCATCTACTAGAAATTTTCATTTTGCTTCTCCATCCAAATGTCTCTGAATATAATATTCCTTATGGGCTTTGTTTGCTTTGCTAATACTAAAATATCAGAATAATGACATTATTAAACAGATCAATATGGAAGAAAAAATACCCATTTAACTTTGAATATGTTCATACTTTTAACATTATTTGCTAAAATTTGTCCTTCAAAAATTTCTAACAATATATCTAATGGCTTACTTAATGGACATACCGGAAACTGTGAATGCCCTGAAGTTCCTGCTGTAGAACCTCTTGTGTTGTTGCTATTAAGTCCAGTGCTCCAACAAATTCAGAAGTAGATAATAACACCTGTACTGTAGGCTGAGTCTGGTGTACAGTAGCCATTAACTTCAGTTTATTGTACACTTTAACACAATTATTTCTGGTGAGTGCCAGTCTTAAAACGTGTAGTGATCCTTCACACATTACTTTATCAATCTGTGTGATTTTATCTCGAAGCATTTTTACAGCCTGGGAAGTTTTCTTGAGGTAGTCCTGCAATTCATGTTGAGAGGTCATCGCATGAAAAAATGCTTCTGAACGTAGAGAGATCTGGTGAGCAATGTTTACTTCCACAATATCCAGATAATGGCTCAGCTTAAAAGGGAAAGAAAAAAAATTATGGAGTATTATAAGTATACCTTCTTTGACTATCCAAATGCTTTCTGAAAATGAAAAAAAAAGACCTCTACATGTATTTCAAATTCCATTGTGTGAACTGTTGATTGTGAGACCCTTGGAATTAGGCACAACAAAACGGAAGGGAGATGAAAGGTGCAGTCCAAAGATTAATAAATATAAAACAGAAGAGTAGAAGTTGATTTACCTTCTTCCTCTACTCCTGCCACTACTACCCTCCAAACATTAACTCCTTTCTTTTTTTTTTTTTTTTTTTTTGAGACAGAGTCTCACTGTGTTGCCCGGGCTAGAGTGCCGTGGCATCATCCTAGCTCACAGCAACCTCAAACTCCTGGGCTCAAGCGATCCTCCTGCCTCAGCCTCCCGAGTAGCTGGAACTACAGGCATGCACCACCATGCCCGGCTAGTTTTTTCTATATATTTTTAGTTGTCTGATTAATTTCTTTCTATTTTTAGTAGAGATGGGGTCTCGCTCTTGCTCAGGCTGGTTTCGAACTCCTGAGCTCAAACAATCCGCCCGCCTCGGCCTCCCAGAGAGCTAGGATTACAGGCATGAGCCACCGCACCCAGCCTCATTAACTCCTTTCTAAAAGATAAGAGTACCTCACAGCCATCTCAGATTATAATTCTAGTTTCAAAAGTTCTAAGATATGAGAAAGAATGATTTCTTTACCCCCACCAACATCACACATCACTTATCTGATGGAATAGATGACTATAGTTTCCATTTATTGAACTCCTCCTTCTATATGATACCAGGCACAGGTATTTTATATACCCCTGAAAAAACTCAGAGACATTAGGTAACTTGAATAAAGTCATATGGTTAGTAAGTGGCAAAACTAAAATGTAAACCCAGGTCTGTCTGACTCAAAACTGAAGGTCTTTCTACTGTACCGTACTGCCTCAAAATGCTAAAGAATCCACGAAAGACAGATTGGCGGTTCAGTCACAAATTATAGAAAGTACTAGGATTTATTTGGATCTTTTTTTCTTCAGGTGCTTATTTTACATTTCAAAAATGATTCTTTTACCTATTAGTAAAATTCAGTTTATTTTCAATGTATTTTCCTCTTAAAAGGTTATTAACAAATACCTTAAACAATTAGTTCATGTATATTTTATCTGTAATACTACCAAGAGTAATTCTTACAGTGAAATATATTAAAAATACCTTCTAAATTCAAATATGAACGTCTAAAACTTGATTTGTCTTTTCTTCCTAACTGCATAAGCCTTTTTTAGCTACATTATCTTTCCATTTCTCTTCCATTTTTTAGTAATAACTTATAGCTCAGACTTTAGACATTATCTCTGAATATCTCAGGAGAATTCATAGCATTTAGGACTTAGACGATTAGAAGAGATTATTTGGTCATCAAATCTGTTTCCTTAAAACCATACAGTATCACTTGTATCTTCAATAACGCTCTTTCAATAATCTTATTATAATATCTAAATAGTTACAAACAAGAAATTTTTCCACAGTTTAAATCTCTTGAGTTTATGCCCTTTTGTGTTGTTCTTTGCATCCTCAATACAGCTGTATATTTATTTACCTAAAAAAGTAACATGGGCACAAATGTATAAGGGTAGATTGCACACTAAAGTAGACTCAATTCTTACAACAGTAAATGGAAAACGGATAATTCCTTTAGTACAGTGCTACTCAGAATATGGGGTATATGCTGCTGCCAATCTGTGGACTAACATGGCCATAATAAAATAAGGAATTTTGCCGGATAATAAATCAACTACATCACTACTAAGCACATTTCATTTTTTTCCCATACACCTTCTTAATAAAGGAAATAGTACAGTGATTTGTATTCCAGTGCAAACTCCTTATCTCATTGCAGCCCAGCACTTGGGGTAGTACTATAATAGGATACAAATTTCTTGAATTCTGGTTGTAGCATCCCCTCTCTTTAAAGCTAACAAGATAAACCAGCTGTTGTCCAACATAAAGAGAGTTTGAAAGTGCTCTTTTGGAGTTCATTCCATTCCTATTCTAAGAACAGAGCAGAACAAAAAGGAGTCAGAATGTCAATATAGCAAACTTGATTCTACAACTTACAAATAAAAAAAAATCCATTACTTTAGTCACTTTAAACATTCAGCATGAAAAAAAGCATTTCATTTGAATTTCAAAGATTTTTGGAATTTATCAATATTCCATTGATCTATTCTTTTCAGAGGCATACAATAATTATCACAATTATTTCATATTAAAATGCTATAAAGGAAACAATTTTTAAAGTGTTCCTAAAAATATCTCTATAGATTGATAAGATTTTTATTGGCTTTTGTTAAGGTATTATTGTTTTTTCAAGGTATTAGTCTACCAAGGCACATACTTAGAATGTAAACAAGCGGTCTAGGAGCAAGCCTGTGTCTATAAATCCACGGTTTTCATCAGATTTATGAATCTGTCCTTACTCAATGAAACCTTTTATAGATAAAAATGTTGCCAAAAGAAAAGGTTAGCTCATTTTCATCTGTGAGAAAAGGAATGCTCATGATTCTTTACCCACATTTCTTCTCCTCTCCTCCCCCAAGCTAGTCTTTTCTTCAGTTTGTGAAGACTGGACCTAGTTTATTAAATACTCTTCCTGAGACATGCTTTCAGATTGCCAAGGGATGTCACTAGAGTGAAATAAAATGATTTCTTCTCATTTTAAGAACCACAGTCAGTTTTAGAAAAACTCTAAACGGAATGCTGGGAAACGAGAGAGATCAAAGGTCTTTACTACCATTCAAGTTTTATACGATTCTCAACATGTAAGTTATTTTTAAAGTTCTAAATGTTAAATGACTTTCAAGATGTTGACTCATGAAATACAGAACATTGTAAAATTTAAAAACTGTTGACTAATAACATGCAAAAGACTAGGTTTTACAAAGCTAAAATTTAACTAAGATACCTTTGCTTCAAAATAATCATCCTTACCAGTGAAAATGAGGAAAAACAGTACCTCCGGAAAAGTTGGTTTTGTGTGCTTTAAATCATTCTTATAAAATTAGCCAAAATTAGCCAATATATAACTGAAATGTTTGGGATAAATGCAAAGCAATTCTTTTTTGTTATCTTTTTTTTTTTTTTTTTTTTTGAGACAGGGTCTCCCTCTATTGCCCAGGATAGAGAACAGTGGTATATCTGTGTTACCTAACATATCTTTTCAATTAAAATTCCATCAACTGCTATTTCAGATAAGTAGCACTCAAACAGTAAATTTTTCCTTTTTCACTAGCACAATTTGTATTTCATTGAACTAAAATGCTATTAGTTTATCAGTTAAGATTGAAAGGTTTATAATTATCAGTAACAAAAATGAATTTAAAATAAGTAGAGCTTACTAAATAACTAAATCTGAACCCACACAAATAGTACCACTTAAGCAGAATAACATTTTCTACACAGAAAAAGGCAAAGAGAAATTACCTTTTCTTGAAGCAACTTTGAGGAAGCTGCATCACGATTTCCTTTTCCACCAGCAGTATTAAAATGAGACCATGGTAAAACTGAATTAAAAGTTAAGGAATCGTCCAAGGCAAAATCTGGTTTCATAAAAATCTATTTAAAAAAATGCATTTCCTTCAATTAGATTAACATTTTCTTTATAGCTGTTAACCCTTCTAACATCGCAACTATTAAAGAAAAATTAACTTGGATCTTGAGTATGAACAGCAAAAGCAAATGATAATGGCTAAGTTATTTACACAAATATTTGAATAAGAAAAATGTATAAATAATATTTCATCAAGTTTAAAATGCCCATAAAAGATAGAAAAATATTTTTTGCCTTTACAAGGGAGATGATCATTCCATACTACGTGATCAAACTCACTTAATGCAGTGCCACCAGGCCCATTTCAAAGGAAGATACAATACTTATCCTAAAATTTACATATTATTTCCCACTGATAGCAGGTTTTTAAAATGCCAAATATCAACTTCTCTAACTTATATTTCTATTTCTCCTGCTCAAAATTCTTTCAAAATTAGCTTTTTAGATTAAACATGCAATAAATTTAAAACCAAAAAAAATTCAATTTTATGAACAGACTACTCCGTTTCCCTTCCATATCACAACCAGCTAGGGAATAATAAGACCAATCTTTTATATTTCCTAAATATCCCTTGAATGCCTCTCTTCTCTATCTCTACAGCATTCATCAATTCAGCCCTTCATTATCTCTGTATTACAGTAAATTTTAGCTATCTACTGATGTCCTTCCCTAATCTATCCCCTATACCGCTGTCAGAGAAACCCTTCTAAAATATCAAGTATAACTGTTTTAATTCCCTGTTTAAAACTCTCAAGGGATTCTCAATATGACCCACAGACCAAACTAATTAAAATGGCATCCAAAACCCCCCATTTTATTTTGGACCCCAGTTATATCTCAAAAAAAAAAAAAAAATTTTTGGTTAAAAAAAAAAAGAGAAAAAGAAGAAGTGATGCAACAAAGTCCTGGAAGAGGCAAAGTGGTTTAAGTGTCAAAAACAGCCAAATGAAAGCTTCTTACAAGGTAAAATTGAAGGTTAAATAAATATTTAAAATATTAAATATTTTATTTATTTAAAAATAGTTTTCTCATTTTTAAGCTTTGTTACCTTAGGTACTTGCTCCAGATCTGTCCTGGATTTATCTATAAGAGAAAGGAAAAAGGGAAATATAATTTTTAAAACTTGTTTTCATTTTACCTCTATAATTTACCAAAAATATATTTGATAGATTCAAAATTGTACTGGATCACAACCAAATAACTACTTAAGTTTCTTCCTTCAACAAGTATCTATCAAGCACCTACTATATGCCTAGTGTAGGTAAAGCACTGAACAAGATATGTTTCAAATAATTTTATATAATCAATTATATAATATCAATAAAACAACTAAATATGTTTCAAATCTTTTTAAAACAGACACAGGAAGGCTATCTTACTAAGTTTTGTTAAGACTAAATATGACATGCTACGCGCTTTTTAAAAAATGAATTAAATTCTAAAATAAGAATACTGTTTTTATTATTTAAAATGTCCACCATCCCATCCAGAATTTATGATCAAACATTGCTTTTTAATACCATATTAATTTTCTTCTCAGACATCCTAGTTTGTATCACCCACAAACTTACCTTCAAATGAACCTACTTTACCTTTATCCTGTCAATCCAATATCAGATGAGGTACTCCTCTCTAAAACTAACCTTACAGCATTTGGACTTAATCCCCTCCTGTCTCTTCTATTAATATGAGCTTACTTCATCAATCACTCTGCCTCTCTCCTATCTTCAACCTCTTCTCTTCTACTCTTTTATCTTTGCATATAATATAAACATGATCGGTTCTCTCCCATTAAAATAAAAAGAAGAAGAACAAAAAGAAAAAGATAAAACCCAGGGCCAGGGCTAGGTTGAGGCATGGGAGGTATCTCAGTTGCAAAGGCACTCACTCTCTGCTAATGCCTCTCTTGCCTCGTCTAGTCCTAGCCATGAAAAAACATTCTTCTACTCTGTTCCAATTAGTATCTTTAAGGCACATACATACCTACATTTCTTTCTCTTGGACTCTCTCCTTAATATATAGCATTGAGGTTTCTGTAACCACCACTCTACCAGTCTAAATGCTCTCCCTAAGATCTCCTAATTGCCAAATCCAAGGAGCCTTCTCAGTGTACAAATTGATCTATCCCTGAAGTATTCTGACATTGTAGACTAATCATTCTTACGTATCTAAAACTCTTACTACCTTTCATTTCTAAGATACAATTCTCTCTTGGCTGACTTTCCTCTCTCTCCAACCACTTTTTCAGTCTGCTTCATAGGTATCTCATCTTCTATCTTTCCCTTAAATGTGACAGCTTCATAGTGTTCCATCACCAGTCCTTTTCACTATTCACATCCTCCCTGGGTGATTGTATCTGTGACCTTGAATTCAAATACCATGCTAGCATATTATCTAGCATATTGTCTATAATGTATATCATACCTACATCTTCAGCCTAGATCTCTCTTTCCTGAGCTCCAGGTTGTCAATCAGTATGTCCTTCACTGCAAATCTGCAACTGAACTTGTCTATAGCTCCTCCAAAATTCCTCCTATATTGCTTCTCTCACTGTATTGCATTTATCACCTTGCCAGTTGCTCAAGCAAGAAACATGGAATTTATCCTCGAATCATCTTGCTTTATTACCAAGAACTAATTGGCCATCAAAACCTTTGTCTCAATCTCTGAGGTTTCTCTCAAAGGCCTAATTTCCTCTCCATCTCCACTGTAACTGTTATTGGGACCACATCCTTTCTCACTTGTATTATTGCAGTAGCCTCCAACTGTCTCCTTGCCTCCAGTCTTTGTTTTTTTGTTTGTTTGTTTTTGTTTTTTTTTGAGACAGAGTCTCACTCTCTTGCCCGGGCTAGAGTGCCATGGCGTCAGCTTAGCTCACAACTTCAAACTCCTGGGCTCGAGGGATCCTCCTGCCTCAGCCTCCCAGGTAGCTGGGACTACAGGCACGTGCCACCATGCCCGGCTAACTTTTTCTATTTTTTTTTAGTTGTTTGGCCAATTTCTTTCTATTTTTAGTAGAGATGGGGTCTCGCTTTTGCTCAAGCTGGTCTCCAACTCCTGAGCTAATACGATCCGCTGGCCTCGGCCTCCCAGAGTGCTAGGATTACAGGCGTGAGCCACCACGCCCGTCCCTTGCCTCCAGTCTTAATCATCATCCTGTAAATCATTATCTACAACTATTTTCAAAGTAAAATATATAATCATAAATCTGATCATGCCCAGTTAAAAATATTTTGTAGCTCAATACTGCCTTTAGAAAAAGTAAAATTCTTGATCATGGCATGCAAGGCTTCTCATGATCTTTGCCCATTGTTTCAGCCTCATCTCTTGCTCCCAGTAGAGTCTACATACTAAACTTTTGCAATTCCTTGAACATGCTATGTTCTCTCTTGGCTCTATGGCTTTGTATAAACTGTTACCTTTTCCTGGAATTCCTTTTCCCACATAAATGTTTCATGCTAACTAGTTTAAAACACACATAATCATGAACTCTAGGAAGCCTTCTAAAAGCTGAGCTAGGAACACTGTACAACCTTACCACAATGAACTTACTATTTAATATACAATGCTGCAATTATTGATTTATTTCTTTAACCTTACTCAGGAGACCATCAGCTCCTTGAGGACTGAGACTATTTCTTACTCATTTTTTTAAGGGTCTCACTATGTTTCCCAGGCTGGCCTCAAACTCCTGGGCTCAAGTGATCCTCCCACCTAAGCCTTTCAAGTAACTGGGACTATAGGCACATACCACCACATCCAGCTTACTCATCTATTTTTAAGCAAAAAGGAAAGTATCAAGCACCAAAACATTAAATAAATATTTGTTGAACTGAAAGATTACACTACTGTCAGACCCATTTTTCTCTTAAAAGTTTTTAGAAACTATAATCATAGACTATAAAAATTTTACTAGAAATAAAAATTATAGATGTGACAGCCAACAAAGTTCCAAAATTAAGATTTTGTTCATTAATGTTTATGCTTTATTACCTACAAATAGCACATATTCATACCATGAGTATGTACAAGAGTCCTGTCAAAGGTATCTTTAGGAGGACAAATATTCTTGCATCTCTCATGAATCTTCTCTTTCTAATAAAAAGACAATAAATAATGTGATCAATGGAAATATCAGTATTCAAAGCATCAAAATGTTTCACAACATAATATCAGAATACACCAAATTAGTTCTATAATTTTCAATATGAAATCACTATCCTCTTAAATTTAAATACAAATAACAAGTGTGCTTAATAAACCAAATACCACTATGAGATCTATAAACACCTATATACCTATACTTACCCACCTTATATAATTATAGAAAAATCCCCATATTTGGAATAAAGTGGGAAAGCAAATGGAAAATCTTTAACTATATAACAGAAATTAAGAGAATGATTTTTTTAAATCTTTTAAATCAAGAAAGAAAATTTAAAAACCTATATATCTAAGATAGAAAGATAGAAAGTAGTTATTCGCACATTCTGAATAAAAAAAAATCCCACTGATTTAGAATTAGATGACCACTAACAACAACATTGTTATCTTTTCAGAGATATCATTAAAAGGATACCTGGGAAAGTGGAGTGTGGTAACAAGAAAAGCACTGGGCTCTCAGTGTTCTGAGTTCTAGTAGCAATTCTGTCAATTACTACAGGACTGTTTTCCAAAGTGGCTGGACCATTTTGTATTCCCACCAGCAATAAATGAGAGTTCCTGTTGCTCCACATCTTTGCCAACATTTGGTGCTGTCAGTATTTTGAATTTTCACCATTCTAATAAATATGTAGTGGCATCTCATTGCTTTAATTAGCAATTCTCTAACAACATTTGATGTTCAGCATCTTTTCATACGCTGAATTTTCCATCTGCATATCTTCTTTGGTGAGGTGTCTGTTCAGATTTTTTTTATCCGTATGTTTTCTTGTGGTAAAATATACATAACATAAAACTTATCATTAGTTACATTGACCATCTTTACATGTGTTAACTGGACGTCTGTATATCCTCTTTGGAGAAAAGTCTATTCAAGTCCTTTGCTCATTTTTCATTGGGTTTTTTGTTTTCTTATTGTTGAGTTTCAAATCTCCTTTGTATATTCTGGGTACCAGTTCTTTAACAGATCTGTGTTTTGCAAATATTTTTTCCCAGTCTTTGGCTTGTCTTTTCATTCTCTTAACAGTGTATTTCACAGAGTAGAACTTTTTAATTTTATTGAAGTCTAATTTTTCAAGTTTTTCTTTTGTGGATATTGTTTTGGTTTCATATTTAAAAAATCATTGCCAAACCCAAGGTCACCTACAGTTTCTCCTATGTTATCTTCTAGAAGTTTTACAGCTTTGTATTTTACACTAAAGACTATGATCAATTTTGAGCTGATTTCTGTGGAAAGCATAAGGTGGTCTGTGTCTATTTTTTTTTTTTTTGGCATGTGGATATCTAATTGTTTCAGTACCATTTCTTCAAAAGACTATCCTTTCTCTATGACTTGCCTTTGCCCCTATGTCAAAAATCATTTGACTATATTTGTGTGAGTCTACTTCTGGGTTCTCTATTCTGATCTATTGATCCATATGTCTACTCTCTCACCAATACCACACTGTCTTGATTACTGTAGCTTTATAGCAAGTCTTAAAGTTGGGTAGTGTCCGTCTTCCGACTTTGTTCCTCTCCTTTAATACTATGTTAGCTATTCTGGGTCTTTGCCCTTTCTATATAAACTTTAGAATCAGTTTCTCAATACTCACAAAACAAATTGCTGGGATTTTAATTGGGCTTATGTTGAATCTATAGATCAAGTTGGGAAGAAGAGATATCCTGACAATATTGAGTCCTCCTATCCACATACATGGACTATCTCTCCATTTATACAGATCTTTCATTTCTTTCATCAGAGTCTTATGGTTTTCCTCAAATAGATCTTATATATATTTAGTTAGATGTATACATAAGTATTTCATTTGCTTTGATGCTATTGTAATTGGCATTGTGTTTTTAATTTCAAATTCCAATTGTTCATTGCTGGTACAAAATCAAGTAATTAACTTTTTGATATTAGCCTTGTATCCGCCAACCTTTCTGTAGTCACTTATTAGTTCCAGGAATATCTTTTTTTTTGACTCCTTAGGATTTTCTACATAGACAATCATATTATCTGCAAATGAAGTTTAATTTCTTCCTTCCCAATCTACTTATTCTTTCCTTTTCTGTCTTACTGCATTAGTTAGGGCTTCCAGTACAATTTTGAAAAGAAGTGTTGAGAGGGGACATCCTTACCTTGGTTCTGATCTTAGTGGGAAGCATCTAGTTTTCCATCATTCTATAGGGTTTTCATAGATGTTCGTTATCAAGTTGAGGAAGTTCCCTAACTCCTAGCTTGCTGAGAGTTTATTTTTTATGATGAATGGGTACTGTATCTCATCAAATGTTTTCTTTATATCTATTGATACAATTATATGATTTTTCTTCTTTAGCCTGTTAATGTGGATTATATTAATTGCTTTTTAAATAGTGAACCAGCCTTGAATATCTAGAATAAGTCCTACTTGGTCATGGTATATAATTCTTTTCATACATTGTTAGGTTCAATTTTCTAATATTTTGTTAAGGATTTTTGCATCCATGTTCATGAGAGATATTATTAGTCTATAGTTCTCTTTTCTTGTAATATCTTTGTCGATTTTAGTATTAGATTCATACTGGCCTCATAGAATTAAAGTATTTCCTTTGCTTCTATTTCTTGATTAACTCATCAAAGGCATTCTTCATTTCTGTTATAGTATCTAATATCTGTAACATTCCTTTTGATTCTTTCTTAAAGTTTCCATATCTCTGCTTATATTACTCATCCATTCTTGCTTATTTTTCATGGTTTCCATTATAGCCCTTTGTATATTAATCATAGTTGTTTTAAATTTCTAGTCTGCTCATTCCAGCACTGCTGCCATAACTGAGTCTGATTCTGATACTTGCTCTATCTCTTTAAACTGTGTTTTTTGTCTTTAGTATGCACTGTAATTTTTTGTTGAAAGCCAAATATGATGTACTAAAGTTAAAAAGAACTGATGTAAATAGGCCTTTAGTGAGAGGTTTTATCTGAATAAGAGTTAGACTTTATTTAACCACTGCTACAGCTGCAGGTGACAGAGGCTAAAATTTCCTCTGGTGTTCTTGTTTTTGATCTCTCCTGTTATCTTTGGGTTTCCCTACAGACTTCTTAAGTAATTCTGAGACATGTAGTTCTTTCAGTTGTATTCTCGTTATTATTCAGGTACCCCACTGATGTGGTGGGAAGGCGTGAAGGGAGGGGAAGCATTCTATGACCTTATAATTAGGTTTCAGTCTTAGTGAGATTGTGCCCCTGGACTGTAACCTTCATAAGTGCTTCTGAGTTGCTGATTTTCAGTTTGCTCAGATTTTTTCTTGTTGTGAGAACAAAAGTGACAACTTCCAAGCTCCTTACATGCCAGATTGGAAGTATAATTAGCATTTTAAGAAACTGCCAAACTGTTTTCCAAAGAAGATGTGGCACTTTAAATTCCCACCTACAGTATTTGAGAGGTCCACAAGGGCTGGAGGTAGGGTGAGGCAAGCAAGAAGCATAAAGTCCAATATTTAAAGAGGTACCCACTCTCACATTCTGGTGCCCCTCCCAATTTGCTCACTTACACAGCCTCATCTTAGTACCAGCCCTGTCCACCACATCTTGGCCAAAGCTTAAAAGAATTTGTGTAGATTTGGTATTATTTTTCTCTTACATGTTTGGTAGAATTCACCAGTGAAGCCACATGGACTTGAGTTTTCTTTGCAGGAAGGTATTTACATATCGATTTCTTTAATAAATATGAGGCTATTAAGGTTATTTATTTCTTCTTAAAAGAGCTTTGATAATTTGTGTTATTCAAGAAATTTTCAATTGACCTAAGTTGTTGAATTTATTGGCATAAAATTATTTACAACATTTCATTATTAGCATTGTAATCTCTGTAGAATCTGTAGTGATGTCATCCTTCTCATTTTTGTTATTGGTGATTTATGTCTTCTCACTTTTTTTCTTGATCAGTATTGCCAAAGGTTTATCAATTTTATTGATCTTCTCAAAGAATCAGCTTTTGGTTTCAATGATTTTCTCTACTGTTTCTCTAATTTCTATTTCACTGATTTGGACTTCGATGTCTATTATTTTTCTCTTTAGTTTTAATTTGCTCTTCTTTTTCCAATGTAAGGTAGAAGCTGAGGTCACTGACTTGAAATTCTTCTTCTTTTTCAATATATGCATTTAGAGCTATAAATTTCTTCCTAAGTACTGCTTGAGCATCATCCCACAAATCCTGATATGTTGTTTTCATTGCCATTCAGTTCACATTACTTTCCTCTTTGACCCACATTTTATTTAGAAGCATAAAGTTCTGGTTTCCAAATATTTGTGGATTTTCCAGACTTTTCCACATTATTAATTTCTAATTTAATTATATTGTGGCCAGAAAGCATACTTTGTATGACTTAATGCCTTTTAAAATGTATTAACATTTGAGGGGTGGGATAAAAACCTACTTAACAGGTACAATGAACACTTTTTGGGTGATGGGCACACTAATAGCCTTGATATAACCATTATAAAAGCTATCCATGTAACAAAAACATTTGTACCCCCTTAATATTTTGAAATTTAAAAAAGTATTAACATTTGTTTTAAAGCCCAGAATATAGTTTATCTTGATAAATGTTTCATTAACACTTGAGAATAATGTTTTTTATGCTGTGTCGCATGGAGTGCTCTTTCAATGTCTTCTTTCAACTCAGACCAGATTCGTTGATAGTTCAAGTCTATTATAACCTTGCTGATATTCTATCTGCTTGTTCTATCATTTATTGAGAGAGAGTATTGAAATCTCCAATTGTGAATGCCTATTTCTCCATAAAATTCTCTATTTTTGTTTTATGTATCTTGTTACTAGGGGCATAAAAGCTTAAAATTATGTCCTCTTGATTACCAGGCCCCTTTATCATTATAAAACCACCTTCTCTCTATGTAGTAATACTCTTTGCTCTATAATCTATTTACTTTGTCTGATATTAATATAACCATTCCCATTTTCTTTTTAGTAATGTTAAGCATGGTATATCTTTTTCCATTCTCTTATATTTAACTGTTTTGTGTCTTTTTTTTTTTTTTTTTTTGAGATAGGGTCTCACTCTGTTGCCTAGGCTAGAGTGCAGTGGCATCATCATAGCTCACTGCAACTTCAAACTGCCAGGCTCAAGCTATTCTCCTGCCTCAGCCTCCTGAATAGCTGGGACTACAGGCATACACCACCATGCCCGGCTGATTTTTTTTATCTTTTGTAGAGATGGGATCTCACCATGTGGTCCAGGCTGGTCTTGAACTCCTGGCCTCAAGTGATCCTCACACCTTAGCCTCCCAAAGTGCTAGGATTATGGGCATAAACCACTGTGCCTGGCCTGCCTATGTATTTAAAGTGTGCGTCTTATACACAGCATATAGTTGGATGCTGCTTTTTCATTATATCCCATAATCTCTACCTTTTAACTGGGGTGCTTAAACCATTTACATTTAATGTAATTATTTATATGGTAGGCTTAAGACTATCATCTAGACATTTATGTTCCTGATATTTACATCTCATCCATTGTTTGTCCTTTTTTACTTTCTTTTTTAAAAAGATTTTCCAATATCTATTTTATTTATTTATTTTTATTTCAGAATATTATGGGGGTACAAACATTTTGGTTACACATAATGCCTTTGCCCTGCCCAAGCCAGGGCTACAAGCTTTCCCTTCCCCCATACATTGCACTCCACATCCATTAATTTTGAGTCTACCCACCCCCACCACCCCCCTCCCACCTAACCAGCACCCAATGCATATTACTTCCATGTGAGCACCTTAGTGTTGATCAGTTAGTACCAATTTGATGGTGAGTACGTGTGGTGATTTTACTCTCTTTAAGCTTTTGTTTGGACTAAGAATTTTTTTGATCCCGTTTCTCTCTTCTGTTGGTTTAATAGCTAATATTCTTTGTTTTGCTATTTCAGTGGTTGCTTTACAGTTTATTGTTTATATCCCTTGCTAGAAACATAATCTTTGTAAGGGAGGGAACTGATGTCTGTTTTCGTCTCTGCTGTATACCTTGTATTTAGAAAAGTACCTGGCACATAGAAGTCACTCAATAAATGGATAAATAAAGCCAAATTGTAAGTTATTATATGAATACAAAGTATAGGGTTAGAAACCATCAAAAAGAGAGCATATTAAAGCTCATCCACTTCAACATCCAGTTAGATCTGATCATTGAAAACAGAACACAAAAACTCTAGACAGTATATGGCAATATACACATACAAAGATAAATAAAATTAACAGGTTCTGTATAAAAATATTTGATGGCAATAAAAATGAACCAGATACTGTATAGCATCAATGTTAATAATATAGCCATATTCATCCTATCTCCAAATCATAAAAGGAATAAAGTAATCAAGTAAAATAAAATCAGCTAAGTTCAAATTAGGCTTGATAACGAAAAAAGTATAAAAAGGGAATAGTTATAAGAATATAAATAAATATCCCCTGTACCATTTTAATGATTTTTTTAAAAAACTGAAACAGTAACTACAATTATATTGACAACAGCCACTTCATTAAGACTCTAAAATGAATAATAGGCCATCTCAAACTTAATGCTACACTCACTTCTTGCTCTCAGACTGAGTTTAAAGTAGTATATTGAGATATAATTATGTCTAGAGATAGTAAGGCTATCTGTTAGAGTTAGAATGCTCTATTAAAACCTCACAATCATCTGAGTTTTATAGGCCTAATAGAACCATTTTCTCCATTGTAGGTAGGATAGGTTTCATGCTAAATCTTAGGACTATTAAAAATGCATAATTCTGACAATTGCAAAGATCTGGAATCAACCCAAATGCATATCAATTCATGAGTGGATTAACAAAATATGGGATATGTATACTGTGAAGTACTACTCAGCCATAAAAAAGGATGAGTTAAATGCCTGTTGCAGCTATATGGAAGGAACTGGAGACCATTATCCTAAGCAAAGTATCTCAAGAATGGAAAAACAAACACCACACGTATTCTCTAATAAACTGGAACTAACTGATAGGCACAAAAATGCACAGATGGAAGTAAAAATCATTGGAAATCAAACAGGGGAAAGAGGGAAGGAGGGGAGGAGGGAAGGAACAAAAACCCACCTAAGGGGTACAACGAACACTATTCAGGTGATGGGCACATTTATAGCCCTGACTCAAGCCATGTAACAAAACATCTGTACCCTCTTAATATTTTGAAATTTTTTTAAAAAGGCAAAAAATAAAAATAAAAAAGGAAATACGTGATTCTGAAAAATCACTACAGTATGTAAAAGAAATGTATTAAAATATATCTAAGCAAAGAATTAAATGCAACCCAGGACAGTAGAATTTGTATAAACAAAAAAGAATCCTATAGGTTTATCAAAGATTATTAGTCAAAAATCTACAATAAATCAAACTAAAAATCTTTCTATTACTTTTGACCTGACTATAACTAACTTCAAGATCAGATATTACCTGAGAGATTTCCTGTTGATATACTGTAAAATGTTCCTTGCTGATCTGTGGGAGGTAGAACGAAGGTATGACTTCAGTGTCCACAAAGTCCGGTCCCCATGTTTTTGTGAAGAAGTCAGATTCTCTTTTTGCTAATCTAGGATCATTTAATGCTGCTGGGAGATTTACTTTGGAATGATATATAGTCCATCTAAGTTGATCTGTAACTAGAGATGGGGCAACACATAAACTATTTGAAACACCTGCAAAAAGTAAATAAGAGAACTTTGAAAGTACATCCTAGAAAACTAAAAATGCTTAGATTCTAAAAATACAAACCAACTAAACTATCTCTTCCATGGTAAATGATTTTAAAAAAATCAATGTGATTAAATAATCTTCAGCTTCCAGCATCAATTGCCAAGGATACGAAAACATATACAAAATAAAGGATATGCAAAATTTGAAGAGTTATAGTTGCAGGGTGGAGTGAAAGGTACCGAAAGTCAGTCTTTCATTAATTCTTTTCCTTAATGTACAATTTCTCTATCATTTTTTCCAACATCAAAACTTTGCTACCCTCCATGATATATTTTCTATCCTTTAATACCTAGCATTGTTTAGAGGTAGGCCTTTTTTTCTGTTGAATTATGGTAGGCACTCCTGGTTAAAATATGCTTTGTTTAACTTATAATTAGGTGACATAAATTTTGCTATGGCATTAACTATAGAGGAAAGAAAAATATATAGTTGATTCTCATTATTCACAGTAGTTTTATTCTATAAAGTCACCTTCAACACTTCATTAGCGAATAGTGAAACACTGCTCCAACAGAAATAAAGCGTTAGGTTCCTGGGAGCCTCTGGTCACAACAATTTCATCAACTGATCAACACATAACCTTGTTTTGTGTGTTTCTGTTTAAAGACATCTTATTCAGTATATATCCATGATTCGTTAACATTAAACTCATGGCTAACAGCACTATAGCTCATGCCTGAATGAAGCTTATATAACACATGTATTTCCTCTATAAAGCACATCACAGCTTCCCTGCACTTAGGAACACTAGATAGCACTTCGGCATTATGCTTAAGGGCCATTTTAATCAGCAAAATCACCAACACAAAGCACAAAACATGTGGCACTAAATAGACCACAAAAAGAACACTTGTTTATAGTATGAGGGCCGAAAGAAGAAGGTAGAGCTTTGCTATGTTAAACCCCAGCTGGGAACATGTGTCAGGTAATTCAAATTTTGCTCTGCACAAGTCTGCAAATGACTACAGAGGTACCACAAGTATTGATTTGGGGGTTACATATAAATTTTAAGGAATATGAGAATTGCAAATACGGAATCTATAAATAATGAGGACTGATTGTACTATGTTTTAATTAAGCAGCTTTCAACCTGTACCTTCAACACTTTCTCAGTTTATATAAGTAATGTATGAAATGTATTAAAAGAACTATATTCCAATTTCCCAATCATTTCCAAATCATTTATGTCTCTTTATTTAATTTTTTTTTTTTTGAGACAGAATCTGGCTCTGTTGCCCTGGCTAGAGTGCCATGGCATCAGCCTAGCTCACAGCAACC